AATATATATATATATATATATATATATATATATCAGAATAATAACAACGAAGTGTATCCTCTGTAACAAATTTACTATAAGTACTTAATGAGATACATCAATTACACAAGAAAAATAAAACGTATAATAATTTTAAAAAGAACAAATTTTAAAACAAAAAATCACAAGTTTGCTTTTCTTTTTAAACTTGTGACATTGTATTTCATTTGAAGAGTCTACAATTTAGGATTGTGACAAATATTTGGTTGGTACTCAGCCTATTTGGATGCTTTGCCAGATATTACTGCCTATTCCACAGTAAAACTTTTCATATTTACCAAGGAGTAAAACTAAAATGTATTATAAGTAGGAAATCATAGAAACATAACCAACAAACACACACATAAGGACAATTAATTAATAACTTTATTAATGTTGAACAGTTATAACGTTACCAAGTTTAATTATTTTTTTACTAAAGATTACAAAAAATAATTTAACAAACTCAGATATCAGTAACTCTGATTTGTGTTTGTGTTTGCATGAATCCATTTACTTGTGATATTTTCCAAAGCATATGATCCTGCTTTCTTATGTGAAATAAACACACTTTATTAAACTTGGCAAAATAAAATAATTTTTGTATAGTGAGTGAATATTAGTTTTCTAAGCAATCGTCTTCATCTTTATTAACATAATTGAACCTATTTTAACCAGTCTTTTACTAAATAATTAGCCATCAGCAACCCTTGTTTTTTTTGCTTTTTTAATATTCATTTCCATGAGGCACTGTGTTTTCTTATTAATACACATTTACCAATCACTTCCCAGAAAAAAGTCTTTGGTAAGTTTATGTATTTTTTTTAGATTCTTGCAAAACTACACTCATAACAGTATATTATACCGATCTTATCACAGATTTACTGAAAGCACACTGCAAAGTTTACTTTCTCATTCAGTACTTAAAATTTAAGGAATATGAAGCTTAATAAAACACTGGACATATCCAATTAAGATTACACTCTTCACAAAATTATCTCTGAAAGTGGTACACACTAGACAGGTCTAACTACGATACGAGTATTCACCTGGAATTATTATATGATTTTATGTTAAAAGTATTTTTATTACATCCAACTTAGCCTGTAATTTACCTTTTTCCAGAATATCACATTCACCCATATGTTCCAATGTCCTATGAAACTAATAAAACTATATAAAGATACATATATAACTACTAGGTAGCCAGATATTCAGTTTTTGAATGGAACACCATCTGTTACATCTCTAGATATCCTGAACACTGGGTTTAAAATAATGTAACTACAATGTGCATACAATTAAATGGTTATCTCAACATCCTTCTTGAACACTAAGGAATTGAAACCACATGAGGTCAGCTATGACAGTGATATATCTCTTAGGATTAATCAATATATATCTTAAAAAATTATCATTTTCATTAAAATGGCTCAATATGTGAAGTAATGTTATGTTTTTGTTTTTTTTCCTTTACTTTTGAGTTTAAATTTTCAAATGGAAAAACTGACATGGAACAAGATTACTAGACATTATCTCCAAAGCTCAAAGTCGTGGAAAAGAAGTGGTGATTACATTAAACAAGTGTTTGTGCATAATTTGACTTTTTTTATTTTAACTTTTAACATTTCAACAAATACTGTAGTTTGTCATACTTCAATTACAAGGTTTCAAATAGGTACATGTGGTTTCACTTAGGTTCTTTTTTGTCCATCCTGTACATTTAAACACTAAACATATACAAGTTACAGTATTTGTTATTTAACACATGTTCAAACAGGACATACTGATATATACATATATAACTAACTGTTTATAAAACTTATGAAACTGCTTTATACAAGTATGCAAACAATTGCATTTTTAACTATATTTATAGACACACAGATGACAAAACACAATTACTCGCATACTTGTGCAAAGGAGTTTCGTGAATCTTATAAGCAGCTACTTCTAAAACATTTTCTTGTAAATATAAATTAATCAATATATATATATATTAAGGATGCACTCATTTATTCCTGACAATGAAGATTACATTAAGAAGTTGTTTTTATCAGTATTTTACTGAAAGACACATTAATGAAATACTTTATATACACCGTTCGGTATTTTCTTGTTTCACATATTAAACTATGGACTCTTAGTAATAGTTGTATGGTTTCTTTCTTTCCAATAAATATATTAATATTACCCATGTCTTCCATCTTGTATTGTTGAAATGTGACTCGTATCATCTTCTAGTATGTTCGGTATGTACATAAAAGTTTCCCTTACAATTAATACTTAACTGAATTTTTGTTATACTGTAAAAAAAAAGTAATGAAAAAATGAAACAGCATATGCTATATTAATACTAAACTACCAGAAACATACAAAACATTTGTGGTCAAATTGGTATCTTTATTGCAACAGTACTTCTTTAAATACCAGATTTCTACAATAATATGAATTCTAATTGAAGACACCATAATCTACGAGTCCACTTGTCTTAGGCCTAACAGTAGTTAAACCTTTATTAAATACAGCCTATTTTTAATAGAGATAAGTTAACACTGTAACTTATATACAATTTTAGTTAGGGCTAAACTTTACCACACATAATAATATCAGTAACTAAGCTTCTAATGTTATTCTATGATCTAATGACAGACCTTTTTTAAAAACGTTTATAAACTTTTAATATGTTGTACAAAATATCAACTGAAGTATATTTACATTAGATAATTCATAAAGTTTAAAACAGCATGCAAGCTATTTTCACAAAATGATACTGAATATATTTAATCCTTTAAAAACTGTCAGCTTAACCCTAAGAACTTTCTTTGTAAGCAATCAATCATTTATTATGCTTACTAGCAAAAAAAAATACATTTTTCTACAAGGAAATGTCCTCCTAATTTTCTTAATGACAAATTATTTAAAAAAAACTCAATTTATATTCAAGTAAACACTTGAATTTTATGTTCTATAAAACATAATTAATCATTAATTGCTAGACTACGGCCACCTAGGACATGTTTGTTTTTGGTCAGAATAATTATTAAACTGTTTAGCATTCAATAAACAAATCTATAAATTCTATCCATTAAAATATTTTTTCTTTCAATTTTATTCCAGAAACAAAAAATAAGCAATGCCATTTACAGAATTTATCTTACAATCTGTTTACCTTCTCACATCAAATGCCATTATTATTGTGTTGCTTCTGTAGCAAAGTGGTAACTTCTGGATGTCCTCTAGCAATTATGTTTATACTTTAGAGATGGGTCCTAAAAATAAATGAAAAATAACAATAAGACTAATAATTTGCTGACACTCACTTATTGTCAAATATCTGACAAAAAAATCAATTTTACAGACACACACATAAAATACAAACTTTTACAAAGAAGTTAAAAAAGAAACAAGTCACCATTACCATACTTTTATAACAGGAAAACAGACATAACCACACATGTGCTTTTATTTCAAAATCAAGAAAGAACTTCATTCTATTTGGACTTTGAATATTGATGAGCTACAACAACTATAATGATTATAATAATTAATAATAATAATTTCAAACAAAATATAGTATCCCAAATTATAAGTAATATAAATTACCATATTGTAAGCTTATCAATATTCATGATCATGAAATTATAAACTGCAGAATGACACTAAATAAGAATGACAATGAAAATTTTTCCAGTGCAAAAGTTTCACCGAACTTGAAAACAAATCAGTCTCGTAATTCACTATTACTCATTTTTTAAGTTGTGTGAGAGGTGATCGTAGCTCATTAATATTCAAATTTTTGGACTGCTGGGTATTTAATACTTGAAAGGCCATTCCCAGCTGCCAGATATCTAGCCGTTGCATAAAAAAGAAATAAGCTGGTGATTTTATTGAGGTATATGTACTGCAAGTTATTAAGTTTGAGCTTAATAATTTATAAGAAAATGAATGAAAAAAATATGTTAGGAAGCCTAGATCCCCTTGACCTAAATTCATTTTTAAATATAGTGATTATTACTTCTTGCCCAACGAATATTAATTTTGGAAACAGTTTTTTTCTTAATTGTTTTCTTCTAGTAATATTGGGATTAAAATTGAGTGTGAAATACATACAGACTTTAACCCCAGTGTTATGCAAGAAAACAGCTACCTTCAAATTCTTAGAATCAATATTTCTATAAATAGATCTCAGAACTATGCTCTTTGACATCTAGCCCTTTTCAATGCAATCAAACACTCCCATGAAAAGTTTCAAACTTTATCAATAACCAAACTTAAATCCTTATCGCTATCAAAAACACAAGTTAATAATTTTCACAATAAAAATAGCTCTGTCACCCAGCAACTGATCTTCCAAAGCAGAAACTTAGTATATGTAACATACACGAGAGTATTTCGAACCTTTTCATTCCACCAGAAAAACAGCCACTCATAAAATACTGTCTAAAGTCCTGACAATTTTTAGCTTTAAAATCTAATTATTTTATGTTCTTTATTTTCAATGCTATGCCTTAAACAGCAAAAGTATAAAGATCCTTTTTATAAGACTAATATTCTTAATATAACAAGTTTTTTCCATAAGCTTAGAATCATCAGCAAGTTTTGAAATATTCCTGTTCAAAATATGGTCTAAATTTCTGATATATTCAATGAATAACAATGGTACAAAAACAGACCTTCTGAAGGTTACCACTAGTAATAATTTTCAAAATGTAAAGATTCCCATTTTTTCACCAGCCTCCGTTTTCTAAAACTATATCAGTTCCCTTCCACTTCAAAATAACTATTACATAAAAATTCATTAGCCAAGAGCCCTTCTACTTACAGACTTGTAGTGAAAATAGACTTACCACAATATCTAAACTCTAGTTTCCACTCTCCATATATCAAATGTAAAATTACATATAGTTATGCCTAAAAAAAAGCTGCCATGACAAGAAGTTACAAAATACATAGATATTTTAAGAAATACTGCATTATATGACCCAAATATTATATAATCTCATTACTATCAATATGCACACCAAAAAGGAACTGGTAACATTTCACACAAAGTCTCATTCAAAGAATCCTGTTGTTGTTTATCCTTCATAATTATAAAGCAACATCCCTTTATCTTTGAAAAAAACTCTTTCTTGTTCTACTTAACAACTGCATGAAAATTATTTTTCTACTCAGTAAAACAAAAACCTAAAGTATTTTGACTTAATGCTAAGGTCAATTATAATCAACATCTATAAAACGGTCCCTGCAAAAATGCTGTGAAAACTTCAAATTTATAGTCTTTTGGCAATGCTTGAGTCTTTATAAAAATGCCACAGTGCACCATTTCAAACAGCTTGTAAAAACATGGTGTCACCCTAAGTACTTTTTCTTATTCTTACTTTCTTCCAACAGAAATGAAAAAATTTACCGCTAAGTTACCATTATTACTCCCTGAAAATAACTTCATTTTTAGCCATATTATGCAGACAAGTCTATTACTATCCATAGTAGTATTTTATTTTTTACATCACTTATAACTTAAGGTCAAAAAGGGACCCACTGACCCATCTAGACCACCCACACCACAAAATTAAACTTTAAAATAAAAACAAGAGGGAATCCTTAATAGCCACAGCACTTGAAATTCTGTTAGGTAGGATTAGAGTAAATTAATCAATAAGACCTTTAAAGTAAATTAATCTATGAGACCATGGGCATGGTCAAGTACATCAATCGAAAATGTTTGACCTCCTGAGTCCAAAACTGTAATTATATCTCAAATCTATCAAGAGATGACAGAGCTATGCCGTTGTTAATAAAGCAATCAAAGCTAGTTTTTAATCATTCAAATATTTATCAAACCTTCCCTCAAACTCTCATAAATTAACTGCATCCACCACATTCTGAAGGCAACACATTCTAAAATCAACTACCCCGTTAGAAAAATATAGCTGTCTTAACTGAAGATGACTACTACCCTGCCAAAATTTATATTTGTGTCCCCTAGTCCTTTCTTTCTCCCCATTAAGCATAAAAACGATAACACGTCAACACTATCAATCTCCTTATTGGGAAAACAGGAGTAATTATAACAATAGAAGCAACAGAAGAAATAAGAATGTTGTTATATTTTTTAACATGAACAAATCATAAATGTAGCATACTGGCAAAATTTATGATTATATCTATAAACAGAATTATGACTATTTGTTGTGAGAGTATAATTTTCTCTCACTGAACACTCCATGGTCGTTTGAATACAGTAATCCATTGAACTTAACTTGAATTCTCAATTTGTCTTCGGATGGGAGGTACTACCAGGTTGACAATAAAGTCTTCACACATGCAACAGTCTGTGTATCTTGACATAAAGACAATCAATGCACATTTGTGTCTGGAAAAATAGAAGCTGAGAAGTGGCTATGATGAGTGGGATCTTGACGTAGCATTTTTGAAAAAGGGCTCTTATGAAGACTTCATTATTTTTAAAATGAACAGCCAGGGCTCTTATGAAGACTTCATTATTTTTAAAATGAACAGCCATTAGCTTAAAACTGTAAGAATTACTAATGTCATTCCATATCAAAAAGTCCAAATTAGCATTTCACCTCTACTTTTCAAAACTTTTATGATAAATATAACCAGAAACAATTTTCAAAACCCCAAACCAAACATTCTTCCAAATAATCAAACCTCAAATCTATTGGCTTCACATCTTATAAACTTCAAGACCCTTCTCAAAGAGTATCCCTCACCTTTACATTATCTAAATATAGTTTTAAACACTCAGTAATATTTAGTGTTTTTTCCAAACATTTCCAAGCCTATGAAAGTTAAACCTATAATTCACAGAACTCCCTTCCATTAACCTGTTGAAAAGATTTTACTTGTCACATAAATTTTGACTAAAGGAATTTTAATTGTTATATACATATATACAAACACACACACATAAACATGGTGTTACCTAAGCACTTTTTGATATTCCTACTTTCTTGCTATAGAAACAACAACAAAAAACTTTACCACTAAGTTACCATTATTTCTCGCCTCAAAATAAGTTAACCATGCACAATAATTTCACTATGGCATTTTTATAAAGACTCAAGCACTGCCAAAGGACTCTGTATATTTGCACGTTTCACAGCAATATATATATATAGATATATACACAGAAATATTATTAAGGAGAATAATTGTTTCAATTTTTGCAATTTATGATATAATGAAACTAAAGATTGATGACAAATGCATTATTACTAAATAACGACATATACCATAACATTTAAATATATACATTTCATTGCAAATGTATCTAGCTACAATTTACAAATAAAAACAGCCATATAAGAAGTATTTCAAAATAATGGTTTTTTTCTTAACGGTTTTAAACAAAGCCTTTATCTCATATTAAAAAGTTCCATAAAATTAGGCCTTACAAGTACAAGTATGCCACATTAACTTGTCTGAAAACTTGAAAGTACATTATTATACTAAATTCAAACTTCATACTACTAGGATGAAATAGTGCCTCCAGTGGCAAAGCTTTATATTTACACATGCTAGAAACTGGGTTTCGATACTTGTGGTTGGGCAAAGCCCATTATGTAGCTTTGTGCTTAACTATAAACAAAAAATATTTCACTGTTATATAACCAAGTGACTTGCTTAACATACGAACACTTTCTTCTTATAAATTTAGTATTATAAGGAATACTAAAATAACGTAAATAGAACAAGGCTAATGTTGCAAATCCAAAACCGTAAGCCTAAATATATAAATAATACATGCCATAAACGTAAAAGGTGTGTATCACTAAGATAAATTACTAATAATAATTAGTAAGCCCCATCTTAGATTCCTTTTTAACAAATGTTAATTTAGAACTATTGTATTATTATATATCGGTATTTAATTATTAAGTTAATAGCTTAAAATTCAACATGTTGATGTGTAATTTTTTTTAAATTTAATCACATACCTGATCTAGAGACCAAGTTCTAAGGCCAGCATATTGCCATACTATTACTATTAAGTCTTACTATGTTACTGTTAGTCAACGTGCTTATAACGTATAAAGTTTGATTAAACACTTAGAATTGGTATTATTGTGGAAAATACAGTTACGATACTGTCCATACCAGTAGCATGAATTTTGCCATTTGAGTTGGTCATACATAGTCTCATAGTCGTACTGAGATTCTGTCAGTCATACTACTAGTAATAGTAGTATTACTATTAGTATTAGACATTGTCAATACACTGTGTTACAATCTAGATTAAATTTTCAATACTACTATTTTTAAGTTGTTGAATGCTTTGCCAGAAAAACGAACAAAATTTGCGAATTGAGTACATGATAAAAGATGAACATCTTTGAAACCATACCTTATAAATCTTGTCAACTTAAGCAACTAGTGTAGATTTACAAGTAAACTGTAAACGTTACAACTTACAAAATTCAGTCCTAACAAGTCTCCATGACATGCATAGTTTACACGTTTAGGCCCACGTGCTCTCTTGTAATTGGTTAATAAAAAACATGCTAAGCAAAGTTAACTTTAGAGAAAGTAATATAGAAAAAACAGTTTTATATTAAAATATGTTAAAATAAAAAATAAGTTTTAAAAATCTATATTATTATTTAAATATGTATAAATTGCCATCAGTATTTTACGCAAAATGTCGTATCTAATTATCTGACATAGCAGAGGGACTATGTAGTGTTCTTCCGTTCTAACGATAATTTAAATAAAATATTTTCCTCACAAAAGATTTTATTCCTATATAATAATATCTTAAAAATGAAATACCTGATTACTAAAAGACGATTAAAAAACTATCCCTAAGTAAAAAGTAACGTAAATGTGTGCACTTTATTTTGATGCGGCTGAATACCACATCTTCCAAAGTGTAGCTTGTTTCATTCATAAACCCATAAAAACACGTCAATGAAACGTAGAATATAGTACGTCTGCTGAGGTCGTTTGAAAGTGGCTGTGTATGAAAGATTATGAAGTGAATTGACACGGAGTGTTGAAATACTATTTTATTCAGAGTTTTTATTATTGTTGTAATTTGCTTTATTTTTGACAAAGAAATATATCATTCATGCCTGTCTTCCTTGTCGACGGAACAAGACGTTCAAGACAGAAACGTCTAGGCTGTGACGTTGAGAATATGTCGTTGAAGTTAAACCTCTTAACTATGGAGCAGCTACAACAATATCTTGAGGATGAATGTTATAAAAATCACGGAGAAAATTTGTTGCCGTTTTTGCTTTTAGACTGTCGCCCATTTTTATCCTATACGGAGTGTCACATTATGACAGCAGTTAATGTTCATTGTCCAGCGTTACTACGAAGACGCTCCGGTGGACGATTACCTTTAAGAACAATAATTCCTAATTCAGAAATAAGGGAAAAAGTTCTTCGTGGTGAATATTCTCACGTAATTTTGTACAGTGAACACGGACAAGAGACATACTTGTGGGGAAACTCTCCCGAGGAAGCTGTAGTAAATTCTGTAGCTAGATGTCTCAGCTTTGAAGCCGGGATTAAACGTTTATACTATTTATCTGGTGAGTACATATATTGTAATTTTAAATCTTAAATTATAAATACCAAATATTGTTTAAAGTGTATACGAACAACCTAAATGATAGTTTAAATTCCAGCACTCATAAATTTTAATGGCTTGCCTGAAAGTATATTCACGTTATTTTCAAGCTGTAGTATAACGGGAACATGGAAATTTAAATTTTTTTCTGGCAGAGCACAGATGTCTTATCATAAATTAATAATATAACTTGAAAATAAAAACATGATTATTCACTTCATTATTATTTTGTGAACACTAAGGTTAAAAAGTAAAATAATATAAGTAAAATGATTAGCTTTGAAACCAATCAACTAAAATCACAAAGTTTTCTTGTCTAACAGAAAATAAAATAATTCTTAAAAGTTCTTTTTAGAAATTCCTAAGTTCAAACACAGTAAACAACAACAAAAAAAAACTTGGTAATAGGGGTTTTAATGTACGTAGCTTATCCGTACCGTTAAAATAATAACGTCAATTTTATAATAAGTGGACACTTTTTCAACCAATGTTACATCGTACATGCAACTAAAACAAATCCAAAAATGTTTATTTTAATTGTTTTTTACTGTCATTTCAATAATACTTTTTTGGCTTGGAACATTGTAACGCATATACTGAGGAGTTGAGCATGAAATGCTCCTAAATTTGATTGTCAATTTGTAGATTTATATCCCAGATTCTTCTGAGTTTGATACATATTATTTTCTAAAGGTGTTAATCATCCTAGGATGTATACAGCTGTTTTTAAGACTACCTTCAAACAATAAACTTTTTCTAACATGGGTTAGATCATATTTGGGAGTTAAAAGTGACACGGGGCGATACCATCCTTAAAAATTTCCGTGTTTAACATAATTGTCTTAACTTGGATGTTTCGAATATAGATAACATTGATGGCACATTTCACGTTCATCTTTTACGTCTACGTACTTTAAGAAATGCGCTTACACTTATGTAAACACTTAGCGCAAGTTGGTACATCTAGTACCAGCTTTCCACTCTTAACGTAGTGGTACCGTAACGTACCCACGTGAACGTTGCATCTCGCCCAACTGATTTATAATAAGGCTGCTAGTGTGTGGCATATACATGTACACTGCTGTATTTCATTCATTCCCGGCGTGGTCTCTGACGTGAAACCTCGTCGTAATATTTTCTAATAGGAAAATCTAGGACATCGTTAGCTTTGGGGAGCAGTGAAGCATGACAAGGATAAAATGACCTTGATCTATATCAAACTTCATTCCCAATATATATATACAACAATTTTATAAGTGAATAAAAGATGTATCCAGGTTTGTGTGTGTTTTAATTCACCAATAAAATGTTTGAGCTGTTGTTTTTAAAACGGCCATATTCCTCCTGTATTGATCGTTCTACGTAGAAGTGAGGCGGTACATGTTTGTGTACTATATTATCTCGATGTTCTATGCTCTTACTTTACTATCGATTGGCGCGATTCGCCATTGGTGGCATTACTCGCCTGCTCCGAATGACAACATCCCGCGTGTTTCTGAATGAGAACGTCCTTCGTCTCATTGGTTAAGCCGATTACGGCCTCACAAAAGACATATTTGTAATTACTCGTGTATGGTACACAAAAAAATCTAAAATCAATAAAGTTGCCATGAGAATAATACTCTTGTTATTCTTATTTTGAAAAATCTGCGTGGTGTAATCTGACATTTTCTGATAGCGTTGATGTATATATTGATTTAAAAGTAAAGGGAGATTGGTTGAAATATTTGTCTACAAGTTTCGAGATCGGAAGAAAACAATTGATTCACAAAACAATTGATTTTATACCACACAACTGGACTGATGTTGAAATATCCACTCTTACCTAATCGTATAAAATAACAAACGTGTATGATGTTAGCCAACCCATACATGTAAAAATAGCTGGAGTGAGAATAGAGGACAATGCAGGTTTAGAATAGTTATTTTTCGAAACTCATTGACTCGTTTTTGATAAAGAATGGCGCTGAAGTTAGGTTTCGGTCAGCAGCTCTATGACTGATATATAGCTACACACGTACAAGGCGTGGTATATAATAACTTGCATGTAATGAAGTAGAAACGCAGCTATAGTTAGACTGTTTTAAATTTCGACAAAGCAATTTGGTTCGAATAACTTGTATCCTTTTCACCACAAAAATATTCTTGGTTTTATGATGAGTAAGTCACATTATTGGTTTCCGAAGTATTCAACATAAAGTCCTTTTAGAGAACAGTGTTGCTCTCATAAGGAAAAATTGTATATTCTTGGATCTTTGCCTGTCCCACATAATACATTTTAACTGACGAAAACCGCAATCGTATGAGAAATTCTTTAAGGCATTCATACGTCACAAGGACGACGGTGACGTCACTTGTCCATAGATCGTCGAAAAATGTGTAATTAACTTTAAAAGAAACCGATTATAGATATCAAACCTGGTGACGATTACACTTTCTAGAATGTGTTCACCTTATTACGTTTTCCGGACATGGGCTAGAAATGACGTCACAAACAAAATACACACCCTCCGGTATAGGTTACCTCAAAGTAATGGTGAAAGTATGAAACCATGCGTTATTCTTCCTGCAGACTGACGTGAACACTTTCCGGTGAGTTTAACAGTCTTTTTGATGACATCATTATATAGTCACCGTGAAAGTGAAGTAACTTGCGTTTTAAGAAAATGAAGCTCCAACTCTTAAGCTTATAGGCCTGATCACAGTTTAAATTTTCGTAATCACTGTAGTTTAACAGGAGAACAATTAGATTATAAACACAGTGAACTATAACGACTGGATGGGGCGGGGACATTGTATGAGAGGAAAAGCATCCCATTGTTTAACATAAATGTTTTACGTGTGTTCTTGGCTCTTGTACTACTATAACTTACTGAACTACCATAAAGGTGAAAGCCATGCGGATTAATTATCTGCAACCAGTGAAAGAGTTGATAATTTGAAGTTTTATGTGGTTTTGTAGACAATAAAATGAGAATGTCGAACTTACCAATTTAGATGTAAATAAATAAATGTTAGATTATTGCCAAGAGGATGTTAAACGTGCCACTATTTCACTTCAATAATGTCAATTACGTTTGAGAATGTCGAACTTACCAATTTAGATGTAAATAAATAAATGTTAGATTATTGCCAAGAGGATGTTAAACGTGCCACTATTTCACTTCAATAATGTCAATTACGTTTGATAAAAATACAGGATTTTCGTTATTTACATGTATGATATGGGGTGGTGGTTGTTGGGTAGGAGGGGTTACGGCCAGAGATGTATTTAATCATAATAGGTTTCACTTACCCAACCTTAATTTATAACATTAAGTATTTCTGGTTATTTGTTTTATACCGCAGTGTTCCTTTTGCTTGCTATTAAGTTATTTTAGCTCTGGTCTGCATGGCTATACATTTGACCAGATATCAATAATAATAATGTTAACAGTAATAGATTAGAAGGATATTATAGTGAATTTAGCTGTTTGCAACATAATGCGCGTTGAAAATTGAGATTCCAATAAATAATAATAATGCAAGCTGAACAGTAAACAAAATTCGAATCTCGTTCAGAAACTGTATCACGATGTATTGGAAGAGATAACGTCCCACCCGATTGTTATTAAACAATCAACCACGATGGTTTAAGCTATTTGTAGAAACATTAGAAATATATTGTATTGCAAGTGCCTAATCACAACAATGATAAAGTAGACACATTCCAGTGACGTAATCAATCTTGACATAAGGCGTTAGTAATTATTAGGTACATTTGTTTTGAATACTATTTTAGACGGCCTAAACTTGTTGTTTGAATGTGGTATACGCCAGTGTAAAATGTTTGTTTTCCAATAACGGTTAACGGCTTTGAAAACTATTCTGCTTGTCAAGAATCACAAAAGATGATTCTAATATTTGACATGTTGATAAAATGTATCGGCAATAACATTTTCTTTGACTCCCGTAAACCTAAACAGGGTTGAGTACGTTATATTAAAATAATTTTGAATAAGCAAATCAATAAGTTGCGCGACAGCCGCATCTAATAAGTTGCGGTGTATCAGAACTATGTTTTGACGTTGTTCAGAGTAAGTAGTATGATGCCACGGAAAATTGATCGCTTTTAGGAAGGGTACGTAGCAGCCCTCTCCGCCACATTGTTCCATTACTCAACTAAAAAAAATAAAAAATCTATCGTGGATTTTGAATTTATTTTCAAAACGGGAGTTATCCCTTGCACTTGATTACGTTGGAAAGCAAAGAAATGTGAATACACTTATGGAACCACCATCATCCAGAAAGACTTAACAAGACGTTGTAAGCAACGTGCGGAGTTTTGTAAACAGGTGAGTATCTACGAGCAAAAAACGTTAGTGTGAAAATGAGGCCAACAGAATATTGTTTCACCATGGTGAAGCTTCGAGCCACATCTCTCGTGCAACTGTTACATACTTCGTGTAACTAGAGAATGAAAAGGGTATCATGCTATTTCTACGAGACAAACGGGCGCTGTTGCCCTCCTACACTAGGTTGATTATGAAAAGTGGTGTGCTTGGGCATGAGATCATTGCGACAGATACTTTTGCAATGGAAAATACACTGCAGGGTATTGTCAAGAGTGCAGTTGTCAGAAATGCGACAGATACTTTTGCAATGGAAAATACACTGCAGGGTATTGTCAAGAGTGCAGTTGTCAGAAAGCATGACCGGAAGTAGCGAAATGGACTGTAACGAAGTGGTTAAATTTCAAAATCCTTTTAATGTAACGTACTCAATCTCTGTGTACTAGAGCAGCAAAAAATGACCGTTAGTATTACTTTTTGAATGACATAATGACAAGGATATAAAATTAAAGAAACTGACTTGAATCAACAGTTTTATTTGCCATTCTATTAGTTACTGTACTTTTAACTCCTGCTACTTTACCTTAAGAGGTAGATGTTTAAAGATACACAAGTTGATTCGACTTATTATTTATAGTTTTTAAAATGTGCTCTTAAACTTATTTCCGAAGAATTGTTTAAAATATATTATTTGTAGTAGTTAGAATTACTAATTCGATATAATTTTAAATAGGAGGAATGCGAGATTTCCGCCCCCGCTACCCTCATCTTTGTACTAAAAGCAGCTCTCTTGTGGTTGGTGATGACACGCCCAGAAGCACGAATAACTGGACATCTGAACGTTCTCAAAGTGACCATGTACATAGTAGTACTACCGAAGTGATGAAAATATGGACACTGAACTCCGTCGTCAAAACAAAGCCCAATTCTTCTGTAACTGACACACAGACCTCTCATGTACTATTCCCGGCGCATGAGCAGGAAGAGCCTGTGCAAATTTTATCTTACCTGTTCCTGGGGAGTGCTTACCACGCTTCCAGTAAAGCTACTCTTCAGCACTTGGGAATTACTGCTTTACTGAATGTCTCCCAGACGTGTCCCAACCACTTTGAAAACGATTTCACCTACAAAATAATACCAGTCAAAGACTCTGGAAGCGAAAATATAGCTTCTTGCTTTAACGAGGCTATAGAATTTATTGGTGAGTATATATTTTCAAGTATTGTTATTTGTATACGAAGGGTTACAATTTAAACAATTATGGTAAAGTTCAAAGTATATGTTAAACAAGATGAACATCGTGCATTTTTCTTAATACGTAATGTTAATAACCTGCTTTTGTCAAAAGAAAAACCCTCCTTGTGTGTATGTATGCGTTTCCTGTTCCTCTTATTATTAGATTTTTTAAATAAATGGTAAACATATGCACGTACTTGAATATCTTTCAACCAAATTCAATCGACAGATGGCGCTACATATCGATGGATAGACGCGACAGTTTCTATAGGTAAAGTATATACTTTATACAGGTATAACATAAAGAGCAAACAAACAACGGTATTGAAAAATTATGAATTTTAAAATGAAGTAGCGATCCTACTACAGAAAGTGAAACAAAAAATTAAAACCACAATCACATTTATAAAATTTAATCTCTACTTTGGCAGCTTTACACACTTCTCTGTAGGCCGACGTAAGGATTACATTTCATGAATTTTAGTTTTAATTCCTGTAAAAGGGATAGCTATCGGGGATATGGCTATACTGAAAGTTTATAGATGTTGTGTCCATTTCATGGACATATAAAACTGAGCAAATAAACTGGAAAAATATGGATTGAAGATAGCTTTAAAATCTATCAACTTAGTATCACTTGTTTGTGTACTTTTTATTGCATTTATTTTGTTGTTGTGGATACTACTTATAGCAATCCCCACATTCCGTTAAAATTTTAATTTTTCCCCTCGTTTATTAATAATAGAAGCTTCAACTTGTGTTAAAGTGAATTTTGGCGGATGTACTAGCTACCCTGAACAAATTGTTGTAGAATAGATGTCGTTTGTTCTCGTTTTCCCGGAAACCGTTAGGAGTACTTCCTCCTATATATAAACATAACGGTTACTTGTCGATTAAAGTAATTGGTTGCGACCTCCGAATCTCGGAAACACGTTGATTTCGTCGACTAAATCGTGGGAATGGCAGAGTTATGATCATGGAACGAACGGATGTCATTAAAATGTATCGCCCCGGACTATCATCCCTGGTAGCATCGGATACAGGGACTCCATTGACCGTTATTAGTCCCCACCCGTGACAAATCCTGTTTAGACTCGTACCTTAGTTTGTGTAGAATAGGTACAAGAGAAGCGGAAGACCCGTTAGACATTTTTTTTTTTTATATAGTATCATCCGCCCATAATAAACACAATACAAAGAGCATGTTGCGAATTGTGAAATATTTATAATTGTTCAGCATGTCTGGACCGCATTAATATTTTATTGCACTTGGACAATTACTCGAGTGAAATTAGAGGAAAAACACTTTAAATGATTTAGAACTAAATACTAGGTACCGTATTCTTCTGTGTATAGGACGCAAGCAGATTTTGACATCAAATTTTGGGGTAAAAAAGTGCGTCCTATACACAGAAGGTATGAATAATTATATATATGTATGTGTGTATGTGTATATGTATGTGTGTATGTGTATATGTATGTGTGTATGTGTATATGTATGTGTG